TTAAGAAAGCAGGTATTTCCTTACTGGTGACTGGCTTGAAGACACTGCCGCTCACAGAGCTAAGCTCAGTAATGATCCTGGATGCACAAGCACCCAAGGAGGGGTCGAGAAACTGGCAGATCGGTCAAGGCTCAGTGAAAATGCTGGGATTATGCCTATATTTACTTTGAGCAACTGATAGGAAGAGACTTTGATCATCAGGGCATGCCAGACATCGGACCTACTCGGTAGGCTCCATGGGTCAATACTGCTATTTCTACCAGCTGGTGTTTGTGAATCATCACAAATGATCGTTTGCTCAGACAAAGTATGCTGATTAAATGCAGTTCTTGTTGTGCCGAATTGCCACAATCCACAATGAGTACTCCTTTAAAATGCGGTGCAGCTTTCTATACTGATTCAAGACGTCATGTAAACGGTCTGGCCGAGTACAGGGGAAAGAATTCGAAAATCTCGTTAGTGCAATTTATTCCCTGGTGCTTTCTTAGGAACAACCATGAGTGAACAAGAAGCTTGTGAACTCAACAGTGTTTTCGCAGTTGACGCAATTTTCCTAACTGGCTGCTTTTGATTAGAAACTTCCAAGCTCTTTCGACCATTTCGATGGTTTTCCGTTCATTCGCTGGTTGTTATTTATGAGCCATTTCAATGGCTGGAACAAGGAAGTTGGTAACACAGTCCACCATGGATCAATGTTGCGTGGGTAACTGCGAAACCTGAACTATATCTGTAGCTTCCGCGAGTCTTTTCGGATTATGCAGTAAAATAATCACAAGTTTTAACGGAAGGAAAGAAAGGGTTTCAATATAAAACAGTATATCGGACTCTGAGTAATATAAACAGCATTTGCATTACTTCAGTCTCGTTTTTCCTTCCACTCTACACACACATGGCTAACAGCATCCAGTTTCGGATTTGTCTGTCACAGCGGCCTCAATAGGACGGACACAGTAAGCCTGCGCAAGCAGAAGGACGCTGAGTAGCTTGCGCCGTACCAGGTAAACCAGAAGGAATAAAACTGGGAGGCATGTGGATCGCAGCTATGTCTCATCAACGGAACCGGCCCACAATCCTTCATCATGCACAGCAACATTGCTGTCCATCTAATTTAGGAATCATGTGTACCAGACGTACACACGTCGGTGGCTGAACCGTAGCCCGCTCCAGAGTGGATGTACAGAACCATTCTTTGAGCCTAGTACGGCCACGAGTACAGTTCACCCCGTCCCACCCCCAGCAATCATTCACAGTCTCCTGAAACCACTAATCGAGGTGGAGGTTGTTAGACAGGTAGGCACCTTATCAACATCCACATCAAGCACAGTAACACCGGGGATATTAAATAACCAATATAAAATTTGAAAGTGAACACGCAAAATTGACGCGACCTTTGCAGCAGAATGACATAACTGAGCAAATCAAACAAACTGAAATACTTTTATCCAGATTGGGAAGATCTATTTCAAGTGTAAGTCGGTATAGCCCAAATGCGGTGAAGAGGAATGATGTATACAACATCAAATTCAGCATGAGGCACCATATGAATACGATAGAATAGGAAAAAAATTATTCACGCAAACTGAACAGCAAGTGTACGACAGAATGATAGAACAGAGCAAAGCAAAAAACTATGAATTCTGATCTATTATAAGTGGGCAAGTGTAAGTGTAAAACAGGGGATATCAACGGAATAACATAGAAAATAAAGAAGAGAAATAAACGAGCGAAATAAACAGGGAATCTGTATACAACACACACGTACATATAGAACAATGGAATTATCACGAATATAAGAACAAACACATTAAAATTTTTCCACAGATAAAGTGTGAGATCACAAATAGATATATCCAAACAAAAGAACGCGTAGAGGTGGAGTAACCGCAAATTTCAAGTGCATACATTCTTTGGTTACTTTGTCGCTTGTCCCAGTAACTTGGGTCAAAGTATGTAATTACAATGGTGTAATACACCGTCAAGTCGATATTGAGTTCTGCTGGCGTAGAAGCGGGGATGGCTGAATGCGAAGGAGATACACGAGATGAGAAAAAGTTCCGGGGACTTTCCAAGCGGAAATGGTAGACTTTCAGTGAGGTGTTGTGGCTGAGTTTCAACAAGGATCGGTATGTTTGGTTATAATCCTTGTGGATCACCTCACGGAAGACGATATTGTCCACTGAAGAATTCTAGTGTTTAGTCTAAACTGGTAAGAGAGGTGGAGTAATCTCCTAAGATCTTTCTCGCCTTCCGTTGTGGCTTCTCGAGAGCAGTGAGGTCATGCCTTTTCCAGGGGTACCACACCTGAATGGCGTATTTAACGTGTGGCCTCACGTAAGAGTTGAGCTTTGAGCGAGAAGAAGGTACGATGAAAATGTGGACAGAAAAAGTTTACTTAGCTAAATATATCTGGTTATTGTGTTAAACCGTCGGTTGTTGATCGATTCCTTCACGGAATTTCCCTTGGCATTTAATCAAGACTAAAAACGTGCGGTACATAGCAGAAACCAAGAACATGGGTGTAAGGCCTATTAGCAATCTTCTTGCCGTTTCCGAAGTTTCTACCGGCTTGTTACGAATTTAACCCTTAAAGTATGTCAAGTTAGCAATTTGGTCAGTTAAAAAGTCTTGAAAAATTGAGTAACAACTCAGGTATATTTGTTCATAAAATCGGTGCTGCCCTGTTCGTACAAATGGACGGCCAACCGTCCCATTCGGGTGTGTTTTTGGACATTCGCAGAAGCAAAAAGTAAATATGAAGATAAATGGCTTCATATGTCCAGATATGTTGTTAAATAACATTATACATATTTGGTTAGCTGCATCCGGTTTCAGAATGCCTGTCACTGTGGTCAGCCACAGGACGCCTGCGCTTGCAGAGGGACTATGGGTGGCTTGGGCTGCACCACCCACAGCTCCAACCACACACCCCATATCCAGTGTAAACCCGAAGGAATAAGACCGGGAGGCACGTGGATGGGAGCCACGTTTCATCAACGGAGCCGGCCCACACTCCTTCACAGGCAAACACAAGCAGGCCGTATTTGGGGAAGCAAGCGCACACAAAGCGGTGGCTGGACCGTAGTCCGCTCCACACTGGGTGCATGGAACCACTATTCGAGCCTAGCACGGCCACAAGGACCGTGCACCCCGTCCCCTCCAGCAACGACCAACTGTCTCCTGTAGCCAGTGTGGACGAGGTAGTGGGTAATAGACAGGTAGGCACCTTGTCAACATGCACATCAAGCGCAGCCACACCGGGGATGTCAACCAACAGCCAATCACATGAAATGACATTAGCAAATAAAATATATCTGTTAAAGCATACGGCTATGCAGACATAACTCTTCGTTAAATTAGCATATGAAGTAAGTTGGTTAACAACGAATACGCGATAAGTACAAATTATCCAGGAGTTACTCAAAAAATGTTACCATTGCGAGAAAATTAACGAAGATAACTACAATTAGCGTAAGCAACGTGGCCAGTTAATAGACGATTATTCAGATAGGCAGAACAAACCAAATAAAATAGAATGAAATTTATCCAGCTTAAAAATACCTAGTGTAAGTTGGTTTAGCCCAACTGTAGTGAAGAAGCATCATTAATGCAACATCAGCCTCAGCATGGGGCACGTATATATATATTTACATAGATAGTTAGCTTTACTTTTTAGTAAAATCGTAATTGCAGTGAACGGAAGATCATTTTGACGCCCTGAGTGACAAATTTTTGTGCCTCTGGCCGTGCCAATTGGACACTTTTTGGGCTGCTTTTGGTCACTCAAAAGATTCGGTTTAGCCTAACGACTGCAGTATTTCGTAATTACAGTTTGGAAATCGATTTCCGCTTAATGTTGACGGTATTTGCAAATAGGAATACCACATTCATGGTATATGGTAAGGGTGCGTTGAAAAATTATTCTGAGTAGCCGAAATCGTCCAAACTGTCCAATTGAGACGGCCGGGGGCGCGTAACTTGGTCACTTAGGGAGCTCCAACGGACACTGATCACACGTGCTATCAACAATAACTACGTACGCCATCCTCCGACATATCATGCAACTTGCCGCACGCGTATTCTGAGGAACATAACATCCAATATGAACAATGATTTATCACGGGTAAACATGCATGTGCTTGACAAGTCCCATAGGACTGTTGGAGTAAAAATTAGAAATTTAAAGGACAACCGAATAAGTAAATCGTTATTTCAAGCGTCTAACGATTTAAAACTTGGCGTATGTTTATCTCAGTGGAATGACCGCGACCCAGTTGTCCCAAATGCAGCTAGTTACCACCGGTTCTCATAAAAGTTAGGCTGGTTTAAGTGACATAACTGTGTGCAACTGGAATATATAAATCAACGTTTCTCCGACAGGTAGACTTTGCTCATCGTAACTGCTGCATATGGCTAGGATATGGTTATGTTCATAGCCCTAACGTGGGGTATCAAGAACAACCTGTATTGCCCTGAGAGTAAGTGGCATAACGAGAACAGATAAACCGGGCAGGGAGAAGAGTAACTTTTAGGCCATTCGAAAAACCTACAATATGAGGACCTAGCAGCTACTTCAAATAAAGCTGCAGCACATAAAAAACCGGGGTCTAAAGAAGACAGTCAATGCGAACCGGAGCAGCATGCAAACAACTAGTGTCCCGAGAGATAAAGCCTGTTGTATCAGCTAAGGACATTCGTCGTCTGGATGAACCTTTCCATATCGTCTGGTGTTATGCAGTAAGGATAGGGAAAATGAAAATACAACCAGGTTTGTGGGGGAAGCCCCACACGTTCGCTTTGTAGGGATGCAACCTAATTCGTTATTTTACGCTGGCGTAAGCAACTGTGAAACATCCGTATATGGAGAAGCAATGTATGTGGTCCCAAATCCACTTCGATCAACGCAATCAGCAAAATAGATAAAACGAAAAGGCTGTCAGTTTTCATGGTCCTGTTTAATGGAAGATCGCTAAAGTATGTAAGGTAAATTGACGATGACTTACTCAAAGAGCAAGCAGATGGCCAGGACTATCTGTTTTGACATCGCTGTAAGTCGTACTGGGCCGTGATGATAGAAACTACACAGTCCAGTAATCGTGGAAATCAAAGAGGGTGAGGTTGCAAAACAACCAGTGCTTGTCTTCAAGATCAGTGGAATGTGATTAAAAAAATCGGGAAAAGCTGGACGCAGGATGGTATCCAGGGTCATTCCTATGTCTCAGCAGCTGGCAATCCGAAATAGTGTGACAATTAGTGATGAAAATAAAATGAAAGTGCTTGGATTACGCACACTTGAGGATTGACATATTTCCGATGTACTGCTGAAAATTTGCACAAAGCATATAACGGAATGCATGACATCTTCACTGTGAATCGGATGTTCTGCAAAATGTCCACCGTCGACAGTTTGCAAACCGCTTCAGACTTTTCGCAAAACAAAATGGACCTTTTCCAATTCAAATCGGACCTTGTGCAAAACAATTTGGACTTTTCCCAACCTGTTTGGACGTTTTACGAAACAAAATGACCGCATTGAATTTTAAGCCGAAAATCAGGAGTAAAGCGACTATACGATGTTCAGACTACAGAGTAGTCGTGCTAATGCGACCCTATTGTGTACCCCGCTGGTGCCACTGCGAACTCCTCTCTTGATCGTGAACCTCGATCGCCTCCATCCAAAAGCGCAGAGTGCAGATGAACAATGCATGGCTTATCATCGACAACGCCAACATCCATATGCGGGATGATGGAAGGAGTGTCTTAGGCTCATCCTAACAGCTGAATTTCCTCTCACCCTACTCGTACATGCTAAACCCAGCGGAGCATTTGATTGGAAGGTAAAAGAGTCGGCGAAACGACTGCTGGCCAATCCGACGCCTTACCACACACTAAGTGCGATCATTCGTATGGGCGTTGGAACGGTAACCCAGCAGGACTGCAGGAACTGCGTCCTCAATATTACGCTGAGTTTGACAAACGCAGCAGCTGGACAGCCTTTCATTAACTAAAGGTGTTTAATGTTAATGCTCTCTCTCTCTCTCACTTGTCACTGCACCATTTTCTTTTTCAAATACGCGTTTTTCAAACAAAACTTCCGAAGCTAGCATGAAAGAATAGGGCGTGTACTGCGATGTCCATAGAGTAGGCTTGTCGGATTGCAATAGTCGTGGCACTGTTGACGCGGCTTTGCTTGCAGTGAATTTGTTGAATGTTATCCATAGCCACTTTTTAGCGTAGTACACCGTAGCTAAGGATGGATGGATCCCGATCTCCCTCAGCCGCCGGTGCCGCTACACCAAAGTGCCCTCGCAAAGCTGTTCAGCTATCTTATCCACATGATGTGGGGTAACGGGAATTCGCTCCTCCCTGGTGTATCCCTGATTATTCTGGCATTCTTTCCTGTAGGCGATGATGATGTTCCTTGCAGTGCACTAGTTGAAATTCGCGACTTCAACAGCTTCGTGTATGGTTTAGCCGTCTAAGAACACAAGTTTGGTGAGCACCTGTTTCTGTGACAAAGACTACCGCTTGTACCGCCTGGCATCGAAGCTGCGGCCTCTAGTCACTCTGCTTATTTTGGTCGTTTCGTACAGCAAAAGTATAATAAATCTATGCTGTTTTTGCTGGAGTCAAGATAGTCTGCACTGATCCAATAGTCTAGCAGCTGAATAGGTTCCCCCACACCCACACACGATACGCGAAAGCCCATAGAGCTACAGGGAACAACTGAGTCACCATTTCTGGTCGAGAAAACTGACGCCCATGATCAAGAGAAGGGATTGCACAATCGCACACTGCTTATTCAGTTACGTTGCATTCGTGAAAGCGCAATGCAGTCGGAATATCGCACAGTACCCTTCCTCCTCTGATTTTGATAACAAGCTACAGCTGTGATCCAGTGAAGCTAGACTGGTTTAGGTGGATTCAGAGCCAACAGTTTTCCAATGATTGCTCTGCCTAGGTTCGCCCACACACCCACAATAAAATACACAAAATCCCATAGGGTGACACGGGACAACTGGGTCGCCGGATTTGCTAGAGGTGAACAACACCACTGATCGAGAGGAGGGCTTGAACAATCGCCCACTGTTTGCACAGTCCCGTTGCATTCGCCCGAGCACAATGTGGTATGAAGGTCGTTCAGGCGTTTTAAGCCCTTTTCTTTGGTAACGATTTGCAGTAGTAGGCCAATACAGGTATGCTGTGCTTGGTGCAGTCATGATAGCCTGAACTAATCCAATAATCGAGTAGCTGAATAGGTTGGTGCACACAAAATATGCCAAAGTGACAGGGCACAACAGGATCACAGTCTATCTGCTTCATCAGTGACGAGCCAAGGGATCGGATTGGCCAGGGTTTAATTCAGTGGGAATCGCGGTCCACATTCAGATGGCTCATTGTGGTCCATTCTCAAAACAGGTGCTTCACAACGAACATCCACAGCTGGGTGAAATTTGTTTAAGTCACGCTAGACTAAACCATTGAGGAGTCTGACTTTCCAATAGACACAGCTACACAAGAAAATGTGTAAAGTCGGAAGCAAATAAACTACGTGAAGCTAGATGGGGAGATAAGGGGATATTCAGTCGCCGCTTTGATCGAGGCGATCGAGAGAGGTGTTCGCAGTGGCACCACCTGGTCACACAATACGGTCATGTGTGTTTTGCATTCTTCCAATTTAAAATAAAAATGGTATATATGGGGCCAGTGTGTATGATTTATCAACGCTCATTTGAATCCACCATATAGGCAGTAGCTTCATGTGGCATAGTTAAACTGTTAGCGGATTGCCATTTGCACAGCATAAAGCACCAATTCTACTGGTTATCGGTATGTATATCAATAATTAATATGGATTTTCTCTTTTGTTGGGTGTTTTGTCAGTGTATACAGATGGATCAAAGGAGCGCGCTAGACACTCCATGGGGGATGTACGTAACGGATTCCATCGCTGTACGGCTTGACTGATGTTTGTGTGGCCTCCTCACCATTTGTTTTAATGTGTCAAAGGAGGAACATCATCGGCTCAGCAGGGTCGTTATTTATGGGAGTGAACAGATAGTATATATTGAGGAGTCTGACGTGCCAAATACACTGCAATTTTCATTGAGTTGACTTTGCTGAATAAACGATTGTCCCTAAAGGACTGGGTACTGCAATACCTATTAAAGACAGAAACCTTCATTTACATTCTATCTCAGCAAGTGTGACTATGAGTTTTCTGGCTATACTTGGGATCAAGGGGAGCACTGGATTTTATATTATACTGAAATGTTTAAGGTTCGTAGACACTTAACACCTGGTTGTACTGAGTGGGCCTTTGGAGAAAGCCATTCAACTTAGTTGAATAGCACTATGTGAAATACATTGTACAACAACAAAGCTGGTGTGTTTAACTGCACTTAGTCCTGGAGGTTGCCATGACGCGTGAATCTGCAAGCAAAAACTGGCTAATGATGCGTAGCGTATTAATAGCTTCCAGAATGGCACAGATACTGATAAGTGACTTCAGCGAATAGTGGAAGGGTACGATGTTGAGAATTTTTTACGACGCATTCCATTGCGGTTTCAGTTTCAGCTAAGATTAGGGCCGGAAAAGTCAGTATGCAAATGTGTTTTCACTTGCATCGCTAACATCAAGATTGGAAAGCCGGAAATAACAAATTGCAGTAGAACAGGAATCAAAGCGCACTAATGGAAACAAGAGTATTCGTATAGAAAGGAAAAGAAATAACACAGGAAACTCCAGATTTACGAATAAAGCTGGCTTTTGAACTATCATTTCGAATTCTGTGACTGATCAGAGAGAATGAGACTCCCAGGGTAAGACATACGAACCAGCGTAATTTGGGTGTTCTCCCATGCGGTTCTGTTACATTCTTGCTTGGAGAACGTGCAAGACCCTCCCCACTAATGCACAATGTCTATAAGCATCATATATCGGGTAGGGTAGTTCGAAACCATTAAAGGAACACGATTAATACGGCTCGTATGATCCAGTGTAACACCACATGGCCGTTGTCAGATACCGACTAATGAAATTGCAGCGCTGATCCAGATGATTAGCCAGATAGAACCGATGCAACACATCCATCAGCATCATCGTTTTACACGCTAGATGGAGATGGGAAACACTTCAGCTATTGAGCCGCAGTACATGAGAAAGGAAAATAAACGCAGCACAGGCACGCCAGCTGAACCACCAGTAACGAATGGACATCATTCCGCAGATCTAGCTGTCGGTTATTGTGCTGCAAAAATGTGTTACTATGCGTCAGAAATGAGAATAGGAGGGAGGGACGGAGATATTCACGACACAAACGCCACTGACATCGGTTCGTAGCCATGTTAACAAGTGTTTCCAGCCAAAGGTGTTCATCGTCTCTCAAACCGTGACGCTCCAACCGAGACTAACTGCATCACATCCACCGATACCTGAAGACATCCACTCCCTTCAAATGAACGGCTCGCAGTGCCTATTCCACCAGTCCGATACTTATCACGGAGCATATTATTAGTGCTTTTTCATATACACTTGACCTATTCACTAGTATTTCACACTTTCCAGGAGCTTTTGGTTGTCCGAGAATTCCCACCGATCTTGACATACGCGCTACCATTTTAGTTAAGTCAATCCACAGCGAGGATATATGTGACTGTTCAAGCGAACCGAGCAACCACTCCGTGTGGTTGCTCAGTCGCACTTCTTACTGGGGTGTTTCGGTCCAATTTTGCTAAAGCGCACTGTGTTTTGAACCTGCGAAACATTTACTGGTCGGCAGTGCTCGGGTTCATTTTACATAGATGCGCTGCCCCCAAGAAGGCCAGAGAAGTCATTCGCATCTGGCAGAGCTGAAGTATCCAAGCACGAGTTATCCACGATCAACCTGAACACCACTTGAACACCTGGAGGAAGGGAGCAGACCCGATGGACCCAACCTTAAATATTGAAGTGAGAGGCAAACTTATTATGAATTCGCACACGAAAAATACTTCTGCAGCACACTCCCAGAGATAGAGGGAACAATTAAAAAGTGCAATACTGTAAACGAAGGGAGACCATTAAGTAAAAGTGACTACCATGCAACCACACCGTAGTTATGAAGGTGTTCAGGTGTCCGCTGAATCACATGTAAATGATCAGCGATATTTTGTGCCAATGCTTTACACAATTTTCCCTGCTCGCTGGATTCTCT